CAAAAATGCAAGCCCCCCACAATCAACAACCAAACCAAAAAAAACAACCATCAACTTAACAGAAGTGGAATGAAGAATTTCAGGACTTCACTTGCTTGTACATTTCTGGATTTTAAATTTGCAAACCTTCTGTGTTACTGTTTTAATGGCAGCCAAAATACCAAGTGAAAGCAGAGCGGTGCTGTTCCTTCTGCACTGAGGAAGGGGGGAGGTAGGGTGGGGTAAGGTGAGAGGTAACACTTTATCATCAGAATGATGAAGGCATTCAGAGGACCTGAAAGGCAGCAGAAGAAACCCAGCAAATTAAATTTTACTCTTTTCCCTCTTCTTGACCTGTTTGTCTGGTGTTGATCTGCAGATCTGGTCTATATGATATTGGTCAGGACTCAGAGTATAGAAGAACAGAAGGAATTAAGATATTAAAATCGGCTTACTAGATTGTTTGTGAAGTAAATAAATCACAGTTCTCATCTTGATGTCATTATACTGCATGTCTACTTAAATTTATAAGAACATGTTGGGGAAATAGCAATGACAGGGGAAATTAGGGAACCTAACAGTAATCTGTTTGGAAGGCTCTTTCTCTCATTACTTGTGAAGCTTACATATATATTCTCACCTTTCAGCTCCTGCTCATGAACATCACTCCTGTGTGTGACATGCCTGGTTTGCTATACCTTTGCAAATCATTTCTGTGAGCAGGGTTATTCTTCCTTGTCTTGACTTGCATTGTATATTTGTGCATTCTTTAAAGTAGTGTAGCATACCACTTCATTCTCTGCTTTGGTTTACATAGGAGGTGTTATATGAATTATAAATGACTGCATGCATATGTTGTGGTTATTTTGTAGGTGGTGATTCGTGCTCAAAATGGCGAACTCCTCTATCGTATTTCACCTTGGGCAAGATATGTAGTCCGTGATGAAGACAAAGTGAATTATGATTGGGTACACTGGAATCCACCAGAGTCATATATAGTAAGGCTTAAATATAACTTTCAGAAGGTGTATAAAACTGTGTATCATGTCATATTTGTGTCCCTGCTTGGAAGAAAAAAAAAGAGTTGTTCCACAAAAAGGGTAGCGAACTAGTTAAAGTAGCTACCTGGGAAGTGAAGGATTTTTATTTGTGGCTTTGACAGAAACAAGTGATTTTAATGATGGATGTTTCTGAGCCACTTTTTCAGTCTCCCATAGAATATATAAAAAAAGTTACCTCTTAAAGTGGTATTTTAAACTTGGTTTCACATATGCTAGGCAAGATTGTTAACTATTCCAGGACTAGGTGACCCTTCCTGGTACAGAGGAGAGTAGGGAATTATCAGAATTGGGTTTAAGAGTTAGCTGCAAGTACAAAGTTCAGTACTCCAATAATAAGTCAATGCTGTATGAAGTCAGAAAAAGCTTTCAAAAGTAATGTGCCCATGCTCCAGTCAAATCCTAGTTTCTTTGTGTCAGGAAAATCCATTTATTGATTTTTTTTTTTTTTTGAAGACCTCTTACTTCCAAGACATAGCTATAAGGGGGATAACTATTTACATGATACATGAAAAATATCATAGGAGAACATTCAGGAACTTCAGACTGAATTATTTCATAATATCACACTTCTTGGTGTGTTCACTAAAAAAATGGTACACAGTATTATGTATTGGAGGTGCTGCAATATCTGTTGAGAGCTGACCTACCCTGTATCTGTGATGCTGTGTGACACCTAGATCCTTTAGAAGAGGGAGAATGGGAAGATAATTGGAAATGCAGTGGTCTGTATGACCTAGAGTGAAAAGGAGATGTGAGAACATTTACGGTGCAGACAAGGCCTTACTGAGTTAGGTCAGGCAAAAAAAAAAAAGAGTCCTTCTATAAATAGGGGAAGTAAAATACAGGGAACAAAGCTGAACCAGAACTTCTGCCGAGTGGTACAGTTGATTCATTTGAGAGAAGGGAAGCCATCCAGAGGGACCTGGACAAGCTTGAGGCATGGGCCTGTGTGAACCTTATGAGGTTCAACAAGGCCAAATGCAGGGTCTTGCCCCTGGGTCGGGACAATCCCCAGTATCAGTACAGGCTGGGGGATCAAGGGATTGAGAGCAGCCTTGCAGAGAAGGACTTGGGGAGGTCCTGGTGGATGAAAAGCTGGACGTGAGCCAGCAATGTGCGATTGCAGCCCAGAAGGCCAGCTGTTTCCTGGGCTGCATTCAAAGCAGTGTGGTTAGCAAGCTGAGTGAGATAATTCTGCCCCTCTGCTCTGGTGAGAACCCACCTGGAGTCCTGCGTCCAGCTCTGGAGCCCTCCGCACAGGAAAGACATACCTGTTAGAGCAGGTCCAGAGGAGGGCCACAAAAATGACCAGAGGGCTGGAACACCTCTCCTGTGAGCACAGGCTGAGAGAGTTGGGGCTGTTCAGCCTGGAGAAGAGAAGGCTCTGGGGAGACCTTGTTGCAGCCTTCCGGTACTTAAAGGGGGTTTCTAAGATAGACAGGAACAGACTTTTTAGCAGGGCCTGTCCTAGCACTAGGACAAGGTGTAATGGTTTTAAAATAAAAGAAGGTAGATTTAGAGTAGGTATAAGGAAGAAGTGTCTCACAATGAGTGTGCTGAAAGGTTGGCACAGGTTGCCCAGAGAGGTGGTAGATACCCCATCCCTGGAAACATTCCAGGTCGGGTTGGACGGGGCTCTGAGCAACCTGATCTAGTTGCAGATGTCCCTGCTCCTTGCAGGGGGGTTGGACTAGATGGCCTTTGAAGGTCCCTTCCAACCCAAACTATTCTATGATTCTTGTTCTTCTCATATCTTTTAATGTTTGTGTGTATTTTTACCGGTTTTGGTCTAACTTTTCAAAATTTAACTTGAATATTCAACTAATAAATAGAGTGTAAAATCTTGTAAATTCTTATTTTTAATTGGGAGAAAAAAGAAAAGAAAAAGCTTTGGGTGTATAACAGGTTTTGAGTGGTAGTTTTCCTAAGTTTTTTTCAGACAAGACTTCTGTTTTTAAAAAGTAAAATCCCAATCAAATGTAAACTCTTCTTTAAATCTAAGGAGGAGGTTTTGTGATGAACTTCAATTGCTTCTATATTAAAATATTTTCACCCGTCTAGAAATACTGTGTACTCACCTGCAGACATTGTTTTTTTAATCTTAAGTAATTGGAATGTAAATGATTCTGTGCTGTGGAACTGTGTCTTTTAGGACTAAATTACTTATAGATTTTAATTTGGAGAAAGCAGAGCAACTTCAAATGCCTGCAGAAAGCAGGTATGCTGAAAAAATAAAAACCTATTTTTCTATTGTCTTTTTTTTTTTTCAAAGAAGCTTCATAGCAATTCATAAGAGCTTTGTAGTACAATGGTTGCTATAACTTTGTACGCTTCAGTGTAATTTTTAGGGTATAAGAAAAGTGTTGAATCATGAGTGTCCAGTTTCTTGTTCATGAAGAATGTTAATTTGAAATAGACATTTGCTTTAACAGTTTAGAATGCTTAATTACTTCTGAAGTGTTTGTGCTCTTAAAAGTAAAACCAAAACAAACTGTAAATTGTTTTTCATCTTGTGCATATTATGTGATTGTGAAAAGACTTCCATGCTGTTGTATCCTAATGACAACTGTTTGTTTCCTTATAGCATAAGCATCCTTCCCCCAAGAGATTAAAAAGCCTAAGAATCTATGAATCTCATGTGGGGATTGCTTCACCAGAAGGGAAAGTAGCTTCTTATAAAAACTTTACATACAATGTACTACCTAGAATAAAGGATCTTGGTAAGTAATAACAGAGATACTTGCAGAGATAAGATTTCTATGTGCTTGTGCTTTTTTAATAGAAAAGATAATTATCAAGTGTCTCTAGGTTTTTTGCATTTTCAGATTACCTGTACTATAAAAATAGATTCTTTGGGCAGTAAAAATTATAAGCAAGTAAAATCTAGGAGAAGAAACAAAGACTGAAATAGGGTATGTAAATCAAAATCAATTCCACAGATTTTTAGGTAAAATGTGATTGCAAAAGCCTAGATAAATATTGTAGGGCAGTTTGCTTTTGTCATGGTTTGCTTTCAACTTGAAAAAAGACACGGTTTTGTGAAATAGTCCTCAGCAAATACTGTGTTCTTAATCCATTCTACTAATGTAAATCTTGATTTTAAGGAAAGAAAGAAATATCTGGATAGAAAGGATTGTCCTTTCTGTTTGTCAGAATAAGCGTGCTAATTTTTTTATCTCTGAACAGTTGATAGGAAGTATCAGAACATGTAAACTTTAAATGTGAGAAATCCTCATGTAGAAAAGAACTTCTAGTGTGTTGGAGGGGATGTATGAAACAGCTGGCATGATTTATCTCAGGAAGCATAGCCAAACTGTCCACCTCAATTTCTATTTGATGATTATTTTTTTCCTGTGGTGTCTTTGCACTGTTTCTATAATGGACAATCTTAGAACGTGCTGGCTTTTTTTACTGCCCTGTGGTGAAATATGTTTTGTTACACTCAATTGTAAAGTAATGGTGACATCCATAGTGGAGACATTTGTGGATGGTGGCTGTGCTTATGTAGTGTTTGGTTATCTTTTTTTAATTTTTTTTATTTATCAGAGTGCCTGAAAAACATATGGCTGCTTCTTGTAGGTTTACTTGTTGAATTAATGTTTCACAGAATGTGGCTTTTGCCTTTCAATAGAGTGTAGCTTGAAGATGAGGGAGTTTGCACCTCTGGAGGCCCTCAACAAAAAGTAAATCTGGTATACAGAGATGATAGGTAATATTAGTTCTTATTTATTAAGTAAACACTGTGGGGAATTAAGTCCCTTTTTAAAAAACAAAAAAGTATTATTAAGGGCTATTAGATTCAGTTTTGGAATGTCTTACTTGTTAGGAAAAGCTTAAATACATCAGTATTTAAGAATGCTAAGATATTAATAGCTTGTAGAAATATGTGCATGACAAATAGCAAGCAAATTGAATGACATTAATTTGATGCTATGTTGCTGTTTATTTATAAAAATGCTATAAATAAGAATAAGTGCAATGAGCTTGAATTATAAAACAGCAATGAATCTGACAAATTGCTGAGCTCATGCCAACTATCTTCTAATAATAACTCTTTTATAGCTGTGAAAATTAAAAACAAGAACAATAAAGAAACCAGTGTCTTGTCAAAACTAAAGAACGAAGTGAAGATTTTGTTTAAACTAATAGAGTCTCAACAGACTGTAGATTAAACCTGAAGGTTGTCTTTTGCTGATAGACCTCACTTGCTAGCTATCTGGGGCACTTATTCACTGTTACTAAAGATAGCTTTAGCTAAGATGTGTGGCAAGTACTGTGGCTTCACCATTAGTATGTTGTTTTCCCTTTAGATTTCCCTCCCCTAATATTGCACTGAACTATCTTAGATGATACACGAGACAGCGTGTCCTTGATCCTCCTGTACTGCATTGGTTCTTTGGTAAACTCGGAACAAAAACACATTGCTTTTGTGTATTCTTTTTTTTGAAAGACTCTTGTAGAGGGGGGACGTAATCATTAAAGTTGGGAAAGAG